CTCAGAGATTTGGATGGCGTGCCCAGTCTAAGAAGGACTCTGGAGGCTCAGTCGCGGCCGTCAGTCATGCTTACGGGGAAAGCGTAAAAGAATGAATGCAGCGTTTCTGGTCCTGCAGAAAAGCTCGCAGCTGAGCTTTGCCTTTTTCACAAAAATGGCGAACCTGCCCAGCCCGGAGAGAGATGGGAACTGGTGAGGTTGACAGCCTCACCCAAAGCTCAAGGCAAAGTCTCCTACTCAAAACAGGGCCAGACAGGCCTTCCCGTTTAAGCCGGTTTTTTAATCAGAGGGCGTGTTGGGGAAGAAACAATGGTGGATGGGGCTCTTGCAGTCTCTGCTTTCATTCTATGGGGAACTGGGGGTAGGGCTTGGGGGGGGGGAGGATATGTTTGCATTTTAAGGCGCTATTCACCACCCGGAGTCAAAATAAACCCAGTCTCAGTCTCCGGCACAGCCTCATATAACAATCTCAGTATATAAGAAGGTCACATCAAGGGAGGGAGGAGGGAAAAAAACTACAGGAAAGATATGCAGAATCCAAAATAGCCATAATATAACTGGGATGGGGTGGTGGTGGTGGTGAAGGAAAGAGATGTATTGGGGTCATCAGAGAGGGAAGGAGGGAGAGGAAATAAACTGGCTTCTATTAAGATCCCTTGTAAGTCAGGAAGCGTTTCAATTAGCCCATCGTGCAGCGCCATCTACAGCTGTTTTTAGGGAGTGCAGTGTCTTGACAAGAGGCCCAGCCTTGGCGTTCAGAAGGACAAGAGCTATTGTCTACCACTAATGTCAGTCCTCGATTTACGAACGCAACTGAACCCAGAATTATGGCTGTAAGTTGTAGCAGGTGTTAAATGGGGAGACGTGACGTGCGCCCAGTTTTACAGCCTTTCTTGAAGTGGTTAAGTGAACACAGAAGCCATTACACAAACACAGCAGTTGTTAAGTGGACGTCGCCATCGTTAAGACAAACCATTTGTATTCGATGGGCGGTTTTTGTTTTTGCCAGCTTCTGGTAAAAAATAAAATAAATATATATATTTTTTAAAAAGCATAAATCATGGTCCCATGACTTGGGTGTGTGTGTGTGTGTGTGTGCGACAAATGGCCATAAATGCAGGCTGGTTGCCAAGTGGCCAAAATGTGGCCATGTGACCGGGGGAGAAATGGGAAGTCCAAAACCAGTTCATTAAGTACAGGTAGTCCTCGACCTATGAGCACAATTGAGCCCAGGATTTATGTTGCTAAGTGAGAAATTGGTTAAGTCTCAATTTTGACCCATTTCTCAACTTTTCTTGCCATCTTCGTTAAGTGAATCGCTGCAGTGGTTAAGTTAGTCACATATACCGTATTTTTCAGAGTATAAGATGCACCAAGATTTTGAAGAGGCAAATTAAAAAAAAATGTTTTTGCACCCTGCAGACCTCCCAAAAACAGCCCGTTTTTCGTGAAAACGGGCCCAATTTTTGTTAAAAAGGGGGGGGGAGCATGCATAGCCTTTAGGAGGCTTGTAGAGTGCTCCTGGGGGCTGGGGAGGCAAAATTAAGCAAAAAAAATGGCCCATTTTTTTCTCATTTCTGCCCTCCCCGGCCCCCAGGAACAGTCTGAAAGCCTCCTAAAGGATATACACGGCCATTTTGGTGAAGGGGGCGGGGTTTCGGGAGGCCAAAAATGCTGCATTCAGCGTATAAGATGTACCCAGATTTTCAGCCTCTTTTTTGAGGGAAAAAGGTACATCTTATACTCTGAAAAATACGGTAGTTGTTACGTGAATCTGGCTTCCCCACTGACTTTGCTTGTTGGAAGGTAGCAAAAGGGGATCACCTGACCTCAGGATACTGCAACCGTCATAAATATGAAAACCTGCCATCCTGGGCCCAATGTTCGGGAAGCCAGGCTCTGCCTGTCACAAGCCAGACAAAGGGTGAGTGATGGAGGAGTAACACCTCCTTAAAAAACCTTGGTCCAGCTGGCCCGGCTGGTAGCACCTCATCAGGGCCCCTTTCCAGGGTTACAGGAGAAGACGGTCAACGGTTTTGAATGCCCCAACAGCAGATAAAGCGGCAGAACCATCTTCTAGGAGAAGGGAAATTCTGATTACAAACCTCCACTGCCTTGTGGCTATATCCACTTCTGAAGACACTCCCAAGGCTTCAGGAGTCAACCTCGAGGCAAAATCATGGAAGCAGTTCGTGACTGTGTACAACCACGTTCTGGTAACTCCTGTAACTCAACCGGAACCAACCATATCGGCTCTGCTGTTCCATTGGACTATTTCAGAGATGTGGAGAGTGGGGTGGGGGGAATCTGCTGCTTGGGTAACAGTCTATCCTCCATATTAATCTACTCAGGCCTCGTGCTCTGGAGAGGACACTCCAGCTTTACCTCTTTCCAGAGCACAAAGACCATAGTCTTTTGAGACTGAAGGATTCCAATGCATAAATATGAATCCGTTGTCAAGCATCCAAATGTAAATCACATGAGCATGGGCAGGCTGAAACGGTCATAAGTGTGAAAAACGGGCATAAGTCACTTTTTTCAGTACCGTTGTAACTCCAAATGGCCACTAAATGAATTGTTGTAAGTCGAGGACTACCTGTAGCTTTGGGGAGATCTGTCGCAAAGTCTAATGCCGTGATGGCACCACAGGTGGCACACAAAGTCCTCTCTGCAGGCACGCCAGCTGTCGCCAGTCTAGCTCAACCACGCACACACGCGCACTTCCCACCAGCAAGCTGGTCTTCGGGTCCCTGCTGCGCATGCGCAAGGCGCATGCAGGGGATGCACGTACACAGAAGCTCACATTGCATTTTGTGGCTTCGGGCAGTGCCCCCGTGCCCCGCATTGGCTTCCAGGTTGGTGCAGGAGGCCTTTTGCGTCCCGTTTTGGGTGTAGGGCTCCTGGAAGCCTGGGTGCGAAGGGGGGCTCATGCACGGGGTGGGGGGCTCATGCACGGGGGGGCTTATGCACGGGGGGGCAGAGGGGCACAGGGAGTCACGCGTGTATTAAGTGTGCGGGCACGCTGTTGCACCTGCACACTTTCATCACACGATGACAAAAAAGTTCACCCTCCCTTGTCTAATGGGTGCCAAGTGACCGGTTCTAAGTTAAGGGCTACCTGTATGTTATGTTTGCTTCCTAGGAACCTCTGCAAATCCCTCCTTTTCCATCAGACAAATAGGCCTCTATTACAATGAGGAGTGAGGAGTAAAGAGCCAAGGTNCTAGTACTGTCACAGAAAAGAAAAAGATTGACCTATTCTCCAAGCATCAGAAGGCAGGGTGAGAAGTAACGGGTGGAAGATGATCAAAGGGAGATCCAACGTCAAATTAAGGAGAAATTTTCTGACGAGGGAGAACAATGAACGAGTGGGAAAGTTTGCCTCCTGGAGTGGTGGGTGCTTCATTGCTGGACAACCATTTGTCCAGGGCGGAATGATGACATCTGTCCTGGGCAGAGGGTTGGAATAGAAGACTTCCAAGGTCCCTTCCAGCCCTGTGACTCTATGAGAGAAGTTTGCATGGCTGCCTGCTGTTACTGATCTCTCAATGCACACAAGCAGCTGCTGCACTATGATCAGTGAGCCGGATTCAGCCAATCCACTTTTTCCAATACATCAGATCTACTTGATCTGTTCCTAAGTCTTCAGCAGCAAAGGGTCCTTTCGTCAATTGATTCTATAGCCGAAGATGTCAGGATATGAACCTGAATTCAAAAGAAAAACTCTCATCTAGAAATACAGGATCCTACCTGATACCTATTTACCTGCTTAGTTCGCCACTTAGCCTAGTATTCTTTTCTATATTTAAATATTTCCCAACATATCTAAAATCTGAGGCACACCTCTTCATTTAAAAGCTATTAGTGCTTACTTTGCTACTCTCCCCAGACAGCTTCTGGCCTCTCTCCTCTTTACTGGCTATGCATAAATGCCTTTAAATAGTAACCGGGGGAAGCACAAATGTTTTAGACTGGAAATGCTTTTTTAAAAAAGATGTGCCATCGTTGCAAGTGGTCACCAGGACTTCCATCAAGAAACAGCATCTGATTCTCTCCAGGGCAATTAAAGCTTTTTAGAAAATATTAGATTTGATCTCTGGCTAGCCAACTGGCCAAATATTTACCACGTAGGGAAGGGACTGGAGCTGGCTCTTGCTGGTGGCGTCAGAAGCTTCCCACACATCTATTTGACTGGGGAGAGGACTTTGATCTCCAGCTTTATTCCCACTTGACACACCTTTCATTATTGCAGTTTGTGCTACCCGAGGNCCCCTCCCTTCATTTTATGTAAGCCGCCCTGAGTCCCCTCAGGGAAAAGGGCGGCCTATAAGTATTAATAAATACTCAAATACTCAAATACAATAACTTGTGATCAGGCAGGAGCCTGTAAGAGAGAAAGTAGCAATTAATAGCCGGTACTTCCTTCCCTACCAAACTTTTATTCCCACCCCCACCCCATGGCCCCATAGTATATTTATTATGCAACTCATCTGCTGCTCTCCAGACACCTTAAAAACTACTTAAAAGGATTAAGCACCAAAAAAACAAAATGAAGAGGTAAAATACAAAAGTTTATTAACCTAAATATATTAAGAAAGTTGATTAAAAGCCTAAACGCCTTAATAAAGTTTACTAACAGCCTATTGTGACATTTGGATATATTCAGAATTTAATTATTTTCAATGATCTTTTACTAGCAAGGGGGAACAGAAGGGAATCGCTGAACTAATAGGAAAGCAACAGCTACTACCCCTGATGCTGCTGGTATCCCAGTCTGGCCTTAAGCAGGATCTCCCAAGGTCTTTCAAAATACCACCGGCTTTACTCATTGAGGCTGATGGGTGGAGTAGCTGAAACTCACACTGTGACTAAGTTGGGAATGATCGGATGAACTGGCCTCTTTGTACCAATGCCCTTTGGACACAGAAAGCGAGAATAGGGACTTATAGATTATGAGGGCAGTTTCTCCATAAAAATATATGATTTTATGAAGCACTTACCTCTAAGCAAATCCGAAAGCGGAGGGCCACAATCCTCAGGGATTACGTAGTCTCCTTTTCCAATGTTTTCAAATAATTTATAAATATTATCTCCCTCAAAGGGATAAAGGCCTGTCGTAATATTGTACCTGCAAGGGAGGGGGGAGAGGAGGAGGCAGGGAGAGCAGAGAGGGGAAAGAAGAAATGATTAGATACATTTAAGAATTCTTCTCTGTCCCAAATACGCTTTTTCAAAGGCAACTGGACTTAAAAAAAACATTTGGTTTTTGTTGTTCTTGTCTGCATCACAAACTGAAGCACAAATAGTTCCCATATTCTGCAATTTTTTTTGGAAATCCATTCATATTCCCGCCCCATTCAAACAGGTATTCATCCCAAAATACATAGCTAAACGTCTACAGAGGTTCGCCTGAACCGGAAGGAAAAAAATGCTTTAAAAATCTAAAAAAAATAGCTAAGAGTGAAAAAAAAAGTTGGCCATGCCCACCCAGTAACATGACACGCACCCCCAAGCCATGCCCACAGAACCGGGGTGGTGGTGGGAGAAATTAGATTTCACCACTGCCCCCTCGGTACCACCATTTTCGACAGCTGGCCAGGGGTTGAATGACTCTTCCTGTATTTATTTCTGTAAGACAAAAGGTGAGTGGGAGGCAGACCATAAAAGATGGAAAAAGAGGGTCAATCTACATGTCCTTAGCATAGGTAAAGGTAAATGTTCATATACTTATGACCGTTGCAGCCTCCCAGGGTCATGTGATTCTCTTTTGCGACATTTTGACAAGGGAAGTCGGTGAGGAAGCCGGATTCACTTAACAACCAGCTTAACAACTTATGAACTGTAGTGTTTCACTTAACAACTGTGGCAAGAAATGTGGTAAGGTAAAAGGTTCCCCTTGCACATATGTGCTAGTCGCTCCTGACTCTAGGGGGCGGTGCTCATCTCCATTTCAAAGCCGAAGAGCCAGTGCTGTCCAAAGACGTCTCTGTGGTCATGTGGCCAGCATGACTAAATGCCGAAGGCGCACGGAACGCTGTTCCCTTCCCACCAAAGNGCATGGAGGGTTCGGGCAACCCAAAACACCCGTATTTGATCTATAAGACACACCTAAATTTTCACCCACTTTTTTGGGGGGCGGGGGGAAAGGTGCGTCTTAATATTCTGAAAAATATGGTAACTCAGAGATTTGGATGGCGTGCCCAGTCTAAGAAGGACTCTGGAGGCTCAGTCGCGGCCGTCAGTCATGCTTACGGGGAAAGCGTAAAAGAATGAATGCAGCGTTTCTGGTCCTGCAGAAAAGCTCGCAGCTGAGCTTTGCCTTTTTCACAAAAATGGCGAACCTGCCCAGCCCGGAGAGAGATGGGAACTGGTGAGGTTGACAGCCTCACCCAAAGCTCAAGGCAAAGTCTCCTACTCAAAACAGGGCCAGACAGGCCTTCCCGTTTAAGCCGGTTTTTTAATCAGAGGGCGTGTTGGGGAAGAAACAATGGTGGATGGGGCTCTTGCAGTCTCTGCTTTCATTCTATGGGGAACTGGGGGTAGGGCTTGGGGGGGGGGAGGATATGTTTGCATTTTAAGGCGCTATTCACCACCCGGAGTCAAAATAAACCCAGTCTCAGTCTCCGGCACAGCCTCATATAACAATCTCAGTATATAAGAAGGTCACATCAAGGGAGGGAGGAGGGAAAAAAACTACAGGAAAGATATGCAGAATCCAAAATAGCCATAATATAACTGGGATGGGGTGGTGGTGGTGGTGAAGGAAAGAGATGTATTGGGGTCATCAGAGAGGGAAGGAGGGAGAGGAAATAAACTGGCTTCTATTAAGATCCCTTGTAAGTCAGGAAGCGTTTCAATTAGCCCATCGTGCAGCGCCATCTACAGCTGTTTTTAGGGAGTGCAGTGTCTTGACAAGAGGCCCAGCCTTGGCGTTCAGAAGGACAAGAGCTATTGTCTACCACTAATGTCAGTCCTCGATTTACGAACGCAACTGAACCCAGAATTATGGCTGTAAGTTGTAGCAGGTGTTAAATGGGGAGACGTGACGTGCGCCCAGTTTTACAGCCTTTCTTGAAGTGGTTAAGTGAACACAGAAGCCATTACACAAACACAGCAGTTGTTAAGTGGACGTCGCCATCGTTAAGACAAACCATTTGTATTCGATGGGCGGTTTTTGTTTTTGCCAGCTTCTGGTAAAAAATAAAATAAATATATATATTTTTTAAAAAGCATAAATCATGGTCCCATGACTTGGGTGTGTGTGTGTGTGTGTGTGCGACAAATGGCCATAAATGCAGGCTGGTTGCCAAGTGGCCAAAATGTGGCCATGTGACCGGGGGAGAAATGGGAAGTCCAAAACCAGTTCATTAAGTACAGGTAGTCCTCGACCTATGAGCACAATTGAGCCCAGGATTTATGTTGCTAAGTGAGAAATTGGTTAAGTCTCAATTTTGACCCATTTCTCAACTTTTCTTGCCATCTTCGTTAAGTGAATCGCTGCAGTGGTTAAGTTAGTCACATATACCGTATTTTTCAGAGTATAAGATGCACCAAGATTTTGAAGAGGCAAATTAAAAAAAAATGTTTTTGCACCCTGCAGACCTCCC